TGCCATCACCTCCTGATTGTTTTCCCTGGCTGTCTTGGTGTTCAACAGGAGGAAATAAATTCTCAGACAACGCTTAGGCCAGGGTAATACAGGGGTACTGAAATGTGGTTATGCGAGTGAGAAACACCACATGAAGATGCATTTTATTCCTTCCTCCCAAAACGGTGTGAAAAGCACAAGGAAAGTCTGCTATAACCTGTTGTGCCTTTGGAAAACCTTGAGATTGACTGAAGCTCATTTTCTAACTTTAGATAACATAGCGGGCATCTTTGAGAGCTGGCAGGAAGCATCACTAAAGGTCACATGCAGGAGAAAAGTGCCTCTGAATTTGTCAATGTCTGTCACAGGTGGGGGAAAAAAAAGGTAGCTAATGAGATGTTCCTAGTGGGGAATTCTCAACCTGGCTGACACTGGCAGTGACTTTTTTTTTCCCTTGCTCCTTATTTCACACGCAGATGTTGAGATGGCTTTGGGAGCCTCTGTAAAGCTAATGCTTTTGCCTCTGCTGTTTCCTAGAATCATCTGGGGAGGAAATGAAGGCCTTTTACATACAGAGACGAATCTAGTTTAGAGCATTTTTTACTTGGTGAGTGAAATTCCAGTAATTTAACAGGCCATTTTTTACTAGGCTTTCTGGCTTAAAAAAAAAAATCATCCTCAAGACTTGCTTTACAAAACACACGCTCAAACAAACAAACATGGACTGATGTCTGCGTTAGCTGGCCTTCTTTTAAGTAACACCTTAGAAAAAGAATAATATCCAAATGTAGGCATATCCACCAAGATTCTAACTCTATCATTCTTTTTTAAAATAGCATCCATTAATTTTTTTTAATTAGAAAAGTTATGTCTAATTGAAGAACATTTCAAAATTAGAGAAAAACTACAAAATGCAGCTATAATTGCACCACTCACAGATAACTGTTTTTTCTAACCACGTAGAGCTATTATTTTTCTATAGGATTATGCCATACATTTTGTGTAGCTAGCGTTTTTTACTATTTAATATGACCTGAACATTTTTTTAGTCTAATTTACTCTTTTACACATTGTTTTTTTATGTCAACAGCTTCAATTATACTAGAATATACTAACATCAAATTTTCTGCATCTTCCTAATTTCCAAATAATATAGTTAACTTACTCTTGCCTTATATGTTCTTGTTTTAGTAAACAAAGGAGTATCTAGTGTTTATGTGTTTTCTTATAGAAGAGAAGTAAATAATGTGAGTGAACAAAAAAAATTACAGAAAGCTTTTTGTTCTCAGCTACAGCAGTTGGAAGAAAATATAGGAATTTGATTTCTACTAACTCTGAGTGCTGACTTAGGTGTTTATCTCCCTAAACTCTGAAAGGGTGTATCTATGTTTCCATTTAGAGTGGATTCTACATGCAGTGAAAATGCTGTGTACTTGAACTAGCTCCAACTGAACACACTGTCTTTAACAGAGAAAAACTACATGAAAGACACACACACTTGCTAACCCATGCACATCCCACCTCTCCGCCCCCTTTGTCCTCAGACCCTTGGCACAGATCATTAGGATGTACCCAATGTACTTTTTCTGTCTCAGTGATCCCACCTACAAGAGGAAATACACTTAGACTGCTTCATTATTAAAATATTCTGAATAACCCCCAAGATATAGAAGTGGGCACTGATATAGGCATCATTGCTCTGGCAAACAGTTTTGTTGAACTGATGAATTTTCAATATTCCTTTTAAGGGCATTAAAGGACAGACTTCATATGCTCCATGCCAACCCAGTTCATGGAAATTAAGACTTAAAAAAATTAGCATTACATTTGGAGTCTGGATTAATTCCCTCCTAAAACAATTTTTTTGGCCTCCCTAAAAATGCACTTTCTAGAATAATCAGATATGCAACCCCTTAAAAAAGCACTCGTTTATTTTGTACTTGTGTTTCTTTCTATGTGACGATAAAAGCAAAAGAAAAATGACAACTTACTTTCATAGCAAACTGGATACATGTCCGTTCATCAACTTGATATGAGACACAAAGCATAAACAAACCAAGATAGGCCACTAAGCAGACCTGCAATGGAGAACAGGGATGAAAGGATGTTATCGGGGCAAGTCGTGAATTCTAATGACATCAATCTCAGTGTCTTCCACCAGTAGCATCCTTGTTATCAAGGTGTTCATTTCATTTACTTATCTTTATGTGCTATTTTTTCTCAGCTGTGGAACAGAGTTTTTAAAAAAACAGTAAAGTCAAATTATTTCAATCTAGCCCATATTTATTAAGCCCTTTTGACGTGCCAGGTGCCAAACAAGGCAGAGTATACAAAGATGAATAAAAGTTCCTAAGTCTCAAGAAGTGTATAGTCCAGTCCAGGCCAAGATAAGTACACACATTATTCTGAAGCAGGGCATTATATGTCAAATGCTATTCAGAGAAGTACAAAAAGAGGAAAAAAATAACAATTGAGTTAGGCAATTAAAAAGACTTCACTAAAGAGGTGGATTTGAAATAGTCCTTGAAAGGGATGATAATAATAATCATGATCACTAACATTTACTGAATACAAGTACTTACTTGTGCTGGGGTTCTTCTAAAGGATTTGTATGGATTTCTTCATATAATAATCACAAAACCTTACGAAGTAGGTGCTATTATGATCCTCATATCATAATGGGGGAAATAAGCAAAGCTATTATAGTAAGTAATGGAACCAGCACTCAAACCAGGTCGCTTGGGTGAAACAGCGTGAGCAATAGCACAGAGGCAGTACTGCACAAATTTTGTGGAAAGAACAGCAAACACGAACCCAGAGCTGAAATAACAGAAGATAGAGCTACCTAGAAAAAAAAAACCACAATTGCCAAAACATAGAGCTACCAGGAAGGGTAGGTTGAAAATCTGGTATTGTAGGATTGATTTAGTAAATAGTGGGGCTCTCTTGAAAATGTCTGAGCAGGGATGACATGATTCAAGACATTTTTCAGGAAAATGAGCAGTGGTGTTCGGTGGGTTGGCAGTGAGGCTATCAGGATGTTATTTTACGAATCTAAGAAAGATTAATATATCAGGTGTGCCAGAGCTCAGATGGTGGCAGGCGAAGTCAGAGAAAGAGGCAGAGAGGGGAAGTATAGAAAAAGCAGAGTCTGTACGTCTTGGCTATACCATGACTGAAGGGACAACACTGGAGAAGGAGATAGAAATAGAAAGCGTTTCCAGGTTCTTGAGTGTCAACCATGAAAAGAGAGGGAATGTGCATGGCCGAAAGCAGGCTCACAGGAGGAATGGAAACTCTGAGAGAAGAGATACTCGACTGGTTCGTCACAACAGATTTTCTTTTTAGTGCATTGGAGTTTTCTAAAATGAGTTTAATCAAAACATATCTATTCACACTCAATTTTGGAAACCTTAAAATGTTGCTAAGTTCTACTTTAAGATAGAAAACATAAGCAACAGTATTGCATTTTTTTGATAAGCACAACTTTCCTAGAGACAGATGTTGGAAGGGTGACTGAGTGAGAATCATCTAACAAGTCATTAAATGACTTGTTTGATAATATTCATAATTCTTACCCCTAGGGCCAGCTTCACACCACAGACCATCCCGGCTAGGGTGGTAGAGCTGTTTACTTACAAAACCAACATAACATTTTAAGGTTATCCTATTCACTCCTTGATTACAAAATCAGTAAGTTGCTTGTACCCTCATGGGTTCCCAAGTCGCAAGTTGTTCAGGTTTCAGTTACTAGGCCGTGGAGGCAAATACCAAGCCTTCTGCAGTGCAGGCTGTTTGCAGTTTTCCATCATTAGGACTAGCTGCATGGCTTAACAGCAGTAGACAACCTTCTACTGGAGAGGCACAGTGTGTGAGCATGGCACGGACTGGAGAGGTCTGGGTAGAAAACAAAGCCGATAGGACCCAGGGAGGCAGCTTTTCATCAGAAGACTGGCAAATTTGGAAATGATGAGACTGAAGTTTTTTGTGTTGTCCACAATGTGACTGACATTTCCAAGTCAGCGATGAAGTTCTTTCTCAAAGCTCATTTTAAAAAAAAATATGTAATTGAGGTATAAGTTTGATAAGGCCTGTAGGGGCTTACTATGTATTATCTCTTTAAGAATTTACAGAACTGAAACAATGGGAGAAAGAGCTCCTTTTTTAGTTTATTGGCCACAAACCAGATGGCGGCTTCTGAAACCTGCTTCTATGGGGATTGTTAAATCCCTAAGCGTGTGCCTGTGCCTTCTTGTTACGTCTGTCTACTCGCACAGGGTCAGGCTCTCTCCCCCATAACTGTCTTTGTCCTTAGAGGCTGCTGTGCTGAAGTTGGCAATGGCCAAGGCTTTCTACTTTGTCTTTACGAGAGACACACTCCAATAACCAAGCCAGCATCTTAGAAATCTGACTCTGTGCTTTGCTTGAACAAATTTTCCCACTTTGGTCATGTTGACTTCTTTGTAGCCTTGATTTAGGCTGATTTCCAGCAAGAAGTTACACAGGAGCATGTGGTAAATCCTCTACCTCAGTGTAGAGGATTTCACCTCATCGATCAACTGAGCTTTTTTGAAGACATAAGATAGCCAGACCCTGTGCACGGATGGCTCTGGAAATTGAGAGGTGAAACAATAGTCTCAGGCTTCAAGGAGCTCTCAGTCCAGCAGAGAAAGAGGGGGAAATGAAGTTACAATACTGTATAAGTACTAGGACCAGGTCTGCTGCAATGCATAGAAAGGGCGATTAACCCAAGGGGGACTTAGAGAAACTCCCTGGAGGAAAATGGGTTTTGATGGGTTTTGAAGGATAAGAAGAAATTCGCTAGGAGCAGGATGTGAGGAAGAGTCGAGAGAGTACTCATAGGTACAAAAGTATGGAGAATGCAGAGCTAACATTTGAGGACTCCTACAGCTCCACTGCAAAGAGTGAAAGAAGAAAAGGCAAAATATGAGCTTACAGAGATGGACAGGAAGGAAGTCACAAAGGACTTTTATTTCATTTGAAGCAGGGGAAGGCTGTGATCAACTTTGCCTTGTAGAATGGTCCTTCTGCTGTGAACAATGGATTGGGAAGGGAAGACCAGCTAAGAGGCTGTTCATCTATGGAGACATGGTGAGTGCCTGAGCTCAGGTAGCAATAGGGATAAAGCATGAGTGTGCTTGAGTGACAAGGAAGCAGAATACATAGGCCCTACGGACTGACTAGATGTGAGGGCTGAAGGAGAGGGAGGGACCAGGAAAGTGCTAGCTGCCTGACTTGAGCTGCCGAGTGGATGGTGTTTACATTTAATAAGACAGGAGATACATGAGGAGGGGCAGAATGGGAGTGGAAACTGATGATACCCACATAGACTCAAAGCTCAGCCACATGGGCCTAGAGCTCAGGAAAGAGGACCGGACTGGCGATAAGCATTTGTTAGTCATCGGCATACGTGAAGCAATTGAAACCATCAGAAAACTGTGCCATCCAGAGTCTAGTGAAAACAATAAAGGTCCAAGGGAGTTTTCCAGTTATGAAGCATCTTTGATTTTTTTTGAACAGAAACATCTCAAATATACTTCTTATAATTTTGGTCGTACATCATGTCATGTGCAAATATTATGAAACTGATCATCCTTTTGGATTTTTTTAAAGTTTCACTTCTAGATCTTTGCATAGGGTATTTGCTATAAAACCCAAATTAATTCAACATATTGTAATCTTGGCCTTCTGGTAGGGCTTCATTGGCTCTAGGAGGGGGTGTTTCATTTTCTTACCTACAGCGTTGCATGATAGGACAATATGTCTTTATTAGAGGGTTTATAAGCACCTTCTAGAAAAGTCATATTTATTGAATACTTAAAAACTGAAGGCTTGTTTTCTGAGCTGGCAGGACGTCGATGACCAGAAAGACAGGGTGTTCTGACTTCCCAGTCAGGGAAAGGGAGCTCATGTGAATGAGCAGGAGATCCGCCAGGCCTGTCTGGAACAACACTCCTGGATTCTGGGCCAGAGCTTCCATTAGATATGGTGAAGTAAGGCTCGTGGAACAGGAAAAAGGCAGTTACGTAAGGTTTTCAAGAAGGCACTCTTTGAACCAGACACCCAGGCCTACGGCAGACAGGTGGTATCACTGAGCTCAAAGCCAAATATGAACTGGGTGGCACTGGAGAAACCAGTGCTATAAGGGCTGCTAGCCTTTAAGAGCTTGCTAAGATTTAGTTCACAGATACAGATAATCGTGTTGATAAGAAAAGCTTGAAACGATTTTTAATAGAAAAGAGAATAAGACAACCACCATTGTGTTTAACCTATTTTTGGATGCATGTTTCTACAATTTCTTTAGTGTAAAGAGAAAACCTAAATCCCAAATTCCACATTCTGTCTATTCTTTTTCTGCTCAGAGTGAAGACTGAATTCTCTCTTGTGAGTTAGAAAGTTAAACAGAGTTGAAATGTTCTCTGAATGTTAAATCCGTTTCCACATGTCTGAGTCCTGAGTCTTGTCACACATTGTCTTTGTTTTTGTTATTTGGCCTATTGTACCTACAGTGGTGCCTTTTGAGGGTTGGCGTTATGAATAAAAAGGTGAATTCTTGACCAGTATCTTGGAGGTTTACCTACATATTACTTTTTCTTTTTTCATTTTGGCATAGCTAGAAGGTATCATCACCCTTAAACATTTTGTGAAAACGTGAATTACTGGTATTTACTTCTTTCTGTGTCATACATTATTTATATTCTGGTCTGTGACATTCACACAACCTCCAATTTATTTGTTTTCTCCTTTTTGTTGTCGACAGAGCTGCTTGACAGGGCTATCTGGGGAATACAACCTTCCCCTGTCAAATGCCTTTCAAGGTTTCTCTCCTCCTTCTATCCCCACCCTGTCATCTGTGTACCCAAAATGTGACTATTTCTGTATGTTAATCAACTTTCGCCTTTGTATTTAAAGTGCTTTAATTCAGTCAATATACTAACAAGATGAACTCTCTTCTCATGTCTGCATAACTCATTGGTCAACAAGAGATACAGCAGAACTGTAAGTGTTTCTCTGAATATTTCTTAAGAGAATTTCTATGGATTTTCATCTATTTAAT